ATTCCATCTATAGTAACTATTATTTTAAAGAGGTTTACTCTTGAAAATGTTGCATCCATAATCGCTTAAGTCTTCCCAACCTTAAGATTTAGTGTACTAGAATCAAAAGTATGAGAAATAACATGATCCAGACATTGGATAGTACAGAAAGCATTTTCTTTTCTATTGGTAGCTTTTATCAATACATGAAAATAGAATTAACTGATTGATCGTTTATCCATATGCCCGACAGCTAAATTTGGAATATTGAATAATTAATATCCATTCACGATAGTCTCTTGTGTCTTTAGGCCAAATTTAGAACAAACTCGAATACTATATATTGTTCGCAAATAGTCAAATTTAACGCTTTCCAGGTGGTTTGCTAAACCAGAGAGCAAGAGCATCTGTCCGACAAAATAATGTTATGTCAATGCCGGAAACAAATTAATGGCATTTCGCTTTTCTTTTGATTGTTTTAAATTATTGATGAATGAAAAAAGAAACTAAAATTACTTTGAAATCATTTATTTTCTTTATTAATTAATAAGAGCGAACGAGGGCGTTACTATGACGCTAGAACTACTCCTATTTTAGTTAATGCTGTCACTGCATTTGTTTTGCGAAAGTGGCCGACTATGCGCACTCAGAAGATAGAATCAATTTATAAAAAAATTTCAAGTTACTATTAACTTTGCATACTCATTATTATTAATATAAATTTGATATTTTAAGTTTTATGAATTTTACCCGCTAAATTGTTTCTTAAGATTAAGAAAAGTACGAGTCAAGTGCTGCGCAACCAATCGAACGTAGGAAAAATACCCAATATGAATAAAATTCAACTATTTTTGAAACAGTATCCGTTATCTTCGGTTTAGCCTCGATTCGTCCCATCCCAAAATAAAATTTTCTCAACTCGTCCCTAACTGTCTGTCAATGAATCTGTTATGTTATAGAGAAGAACTATTTATTGTGAAAGAAAAAAAAAGATTACATTGAAGCTATAGTGTTATATTCTTTATAAATTTAATCTCCACAGCTAATTGACTATCGATCTTGTCACCAATTTTTCTTATTTTTCGCGTGTGTGCAAACGTTTCTTCGGCTTTATGCGGTTGGAACGAGTGTTCAACACGTAATAATTCGATGAACCGGTAGATGTGTGGATGAGTAGAGAAGATCTTACTTACTCGACTGTTCTATCCTTCCACACGATTGTTAGTGCGGGGCAAGTTTTGAATGATAGTATCGTGAACATTTCAAATATTAATTTGAACTAGACAAGATGATTGATCAATATAAGTACTAACTAGGTAATCATTAAAGTTAATTGCAGATCGATGGTCTGGAGTAAAATCATCCATCGCTTTAACTCAGGTGTCAGCAACTATCGAAGGTGGAATAAGAGCTAGACCGATTGTAGCGTAAAATCATTTTTCATTAGCACCAATTAGGCAAGGGACGAGTTAGGAATCAATTAAAGCGGGACAAATTCGAAATGGGACGAATCGGATAGCGACGGTCATCTTCTAATGCTTCTAAGGCTATAATTATATTTTATTATTTCAAACGTACCCACGTCGATCAACTTGTGTCGTACACGGCCGTTTGGTATGCACCGTATTACGGTCGTTTTTGTATCGTGCCATAAACGATCGGATACGGTCGGATAAGGAAATATCCGACCATATTACGGNGGGGGCACTTCAATTTTGATGTTACAGTTAAAGTTAAAGTTGAAACCAATAGGGATTTAATCATGAAAAGCGAAAAAATTATTTTTCACTTTAACTCGGATTTGTTAAAGTTAAATCGGTAAAGTGTCTTGCTTTAACTTTAACTTTTAAAATAAAGTTAAGGTGCCACTCGTGCTATCGACTGTTGAGTATTAACACAAGAGTCAAAACTAATATGCTAGGATAAACATTTATTGATAGTTGTATGAATGAAACACGGATTTAGGTATGACCGTGTTACAATTAGCATTAATTAGCGTATCTTGATAGACTACATATCTCAACGTCGAACACTAATTAGCTTCTATACATTTCGATATTCCATTTTGCAATCCAAATAATCACGAAAATAATCTTGTCTTTCATGATCAACCAACGGAAGGAAGATGCAATTAAGGGAAAGTTGATACAAGGTTACTTTTGTTAAATATTCTGACAATAATAAAACAACATACATTATTTTTCAAGAGTCACAGTGCAATACCTATTAATGTTTCCACATTAGTTAATCTTTAGTGGGATGATTTGCTTTTTTGTTCTATATTCGGTTAGTTGTGCAGCACCCGACTCGTACTTTTCTTAATCTTAAGAAACAGTTTAGCGGGTAAAATTCATAAAAACTTAAAATATCGAATTTATATTAATAATAATGAGTATAAAACGTTAATAGTAACTTGAAATTTCTTTATAAATTGATTCTATCTTCTGAGTGCATTTAACCACTTCCTTTTTTTTTTATATAAAAAAAGCAATGTAATATGAATGATGAGGTTTTCTTTTTCTAACATATGTATTGCATTTCTGATTTCACACTATAAGAGAATTGGCCTGGGCAAATTTATGAAATTGACATATACTCAGAAGATGATAGATAAAAAATAAAATATCTCTAATTAGCATTCATCTTTCTAAAATTGTATATTATCTTCTAATTTCTTTCTAAGTTGAAATTCAAATTCGGATCAACATGAATATATCCGCTTTTTTTCCTATTTAGTTTCAGACGTGCTCATTTTCAAGACGTAATTATTTTGTTCTTGAAAAATCTAGAAAAAATAAATGAGTATAAACCTACTAAATTATTTAATAAGAAATTATTACTACTTAAACATGTATAAAATGAACTGAACATTGGATTTTTTTCAAAATCATATTACATAAATAAATGTCATCATTCGATATTCATTGACAATAAGAAGATTGTTTTTCTCTTCTTCGTTATAATATCCAGGATGTCATTAATTTTAGTGGATCTTATGAGTATGTTGTATTTAGAAATAAAATAACGACATAATGACAGATTTGTTTTTCGTCATTGTTTTATATTATGATGATAAAATGCATGATGGCCGAATCGGCAGTTCTAATGTTTCCTGTTTAATCCTATTAAGAGACTTTTTTTGGTCTATACTTTGTTTTTTCTTCTTGCGAAACAGATCTAAATTTGATCAGAGAAGTATGAACCAAGACTCTTTGCGCTTAATAGAAGGATAAAAATTCTTTTTGTTTTTCATGTATTATCTTTCGTTTTATAAGATGAATCTGGTCAATTGATGTCAAAATAATCATTCGGCTTTTTTGCATGTATTATACTATTCAGTTAACTGAAATGTTCCTACTAATTGGCATGTGTCATCGAATAGAATTCGCCATTTTAGCTTTCATGTCTCGCTACTTTTATGTAGTCACTTGTGTTATCAAATTTCTTATATTGAGACTAAAAATTTTTCTCCAGGACTCTCGGGAAATCACTGCCTGATGTTTACTACATTCCTAGAGACAGTATAAGCACATAGGAAAACATGTTTATCAATCATGCTAGAATGTATTGAAATAATATTAGTAAGAAATGAAAAAATGAAGACTTTTTTTTGTCAAGGAGCTAGATTTACCTTTGTCGGAATAGTACAGTAGCTCATGTCGTATTTTTTCTCTCTACTATTAAAAATGTTTAAATATGTATGAGAAAACGGTACATCTATGTTCATCATTTTTTTTTCTTATTACCGGTGACCTTACTGTTGTTTGAAACTCGATTCCGAATAAAAATAATTCAGAAAGATAAATATATAAAATTAATCCTGATTAGTTATTCGACAAGATTCATTATGTCGTTTAGTAGAAAACGGAGCAATCAGAATTAGCATAAACCTATTAGTTTATGGATACGCTATATATTCTCTATTAGCTAAATTTATCTTACCGTCGAGAATTTTTCGCATCTTTTTTTTTCTGTATCTTCATCTTAAAAAAAATAAATATACTCTTTAATTAAACTATCGTATTACTCATACTGCATAAGATAGCATAGAGAAAAGAGAGCGAGAGAGGATTATAATAGAATATTTTCCTTCAGAATAGAATAGTATCGTAAGTGAATAGTTACAAGTTAGTTAGATTTGTTGTTCCGAAAACTTCCTGAAATATTTAGTAGATTCATTCTGTAACATCTGTTAATTACCTGCTTTAGACAAAACTATTTCAAGCATATAAAATTCAATTAACATATCTAAGAGGGGAGAGATATAGAACAATAAAATATTTCTATGAGGTTTTCCGCGTAGAAGAAAACACCAGATATGTTTATGACTATATACATAAAGCAGCTGTGAGGCGAACGAAATTATTCTGTTTCATTCCGATGTGAAGGTCATATAATGTGAAGTTTATTTGACGTTTTTGCTAATTTAGACGAGTATTTTTTGCCACATAAACGTTGACTAACTAATATAATCTATAGTCTCACTCAAAAGGCTTTTTTTCCTCTTCACTCTATCTTCATCCAACTTTAGAAACAGCATTATCAATAATTATCATCGTTATATATGTGATAAATGTAATTTTCTAATTATTAATTTGCTTAAGGAGAGGGACTCTTTTTCTATGTTTTTTTCAGGAAAAAGAGGTTTTAGATTTTAGTTTAATTAAATATGCTGAAAAATATTCTTCTCAAATTTTTAATAATGATATATGATCTACTTGAGTTAATATGTTTCATTTACGAGCAGTTTTCATTAAAAAAGATAATGCAGATTTTTACTTCAGGACACTTCATCGCGTAAGCAACAATCAATAAATATTTCCACGTTAATTTTATAGAGCATCTTAATGAGATCTATATATATTTTCTTTCTTTTATTTTTTTGCAGCCATCGCTTAGCGCATGAAAAGAAAGAAAACAGGAACAGCTTAGAACTGAAGAATAAAATAAATGTCGTAACAAGATATTGTTGTTTTTAATAACTTTTTCTTTCTATTAGGGGTTTAACTAATTCTACAACGATGATTTCAACCACAAATTCATCAATGAATAATTTAACTATTCCACTATCTCATTACTTTCTTGATGGATTGAACTTTTTCTTCAATCATATCTATCTATTATTACTTGCTATAATCGGTTCGATTGGAAATGCATTAGTTATCATTATTTTCAGTCAAAGAGCTTTCCGAACAAAAATTGGGTCATTTGGTTCAAATATGTCGATCTATCCCTTTCTATTTTACATGGCCATATCAGATACACTGTATCTTATTATACTATTTTGCTTGTGGCTGTCAAATTATATTAATGTTCTACATCGCCCAGTGATATGTCAACTCACATTATACATCACGTATGTGTGTAATTTTATCAATGCTTATTACACAATAGCATTCACTGTCCAACGTCTATTTGCAGTGATTAATCCATTCCAAGTATCTCGAGTTCTTTCATGGTATCGTTCTCGATGTTTAGCATTATCAATAATATTATTTGCGTGTATCATATATTCATATTTACCATTTTTAATTGGTATTGTCAATGGAAAATGTTTTTCTCGTCCAGAATATCGTTGGATCAATAAATATATGGACATAATCGACTCTATTATTGTTTTTCTTATACCATATTTTGCTATAATAACAATGAATACAATTATTCTTATATCATTACGTCGAATGAAACATGATCAGCAGGAGTTTCTATTTCGACATCATTCACAATTGAATAGAATACGTGAATTAACACGTCGTAACGCATCACGTAAAATAACACAGTTGCTATTAACTGTGTCAACCTCATACTTAATTATATGTGCTCCATATGCATCTATGCACACATGGCGTTTATTGAATAGTCACCAAGAAGAAAATAAAAATTCTCAATTGATTAAAAAACTAGAGCACTATTCACTCTTTATATATCATATATCGTTTGCAATGAACTTTTATATCTATATTTTATTCGGTTCAAAATTTCGTCGGGAATTAAAACGTTTTTTTACAAAATCGAAACAAAGCTTTTGTCATTATTTTCAAGAAAAGAAAGTTTACGAAAACGAAAATCGATTAGAATTAACAGAAAAAAATTCCATAATGTCAGTCGAATATTCATTTAATGGCGATCTCAATCAAACTGATGATGGCCGCAGTATACTGAGAAACTATTGTTGTTGTCCTATTTCTATTCATTTGTAGATTTTACGAAAAAGAAAAGAAATGTATGTTTTAATAAAATATTCGCAAAAATAGTTATCTCTGTCTTTCTTTTACATCTTCATAAATCATCAAATGATAAAGTTCTTATCATTATTCACTGTTTATGATGCGAATACACACTTTGTTTCTCTATATTTAATACAAGTTGACTCATTTAGAATCAATTCAAGATTTCTTGTGCGCGCGTGTTTCATAGGAATGTTGAGGCGAACATTTTGTTTCTTTTCTAGGAATGAATTCGAATAAATTTCAAGGAAATGGCCTTTCATTCAAATGCAAAATTATTGGTATGAATATTGAATTAAAGCGAAACAGCAATTCAGTTTTGTTTTTAAAATCAAGGAATGGAAGAAATACAAAATCAACGCGAGGAAAAGTTATGTCTTGAATTAATGAATAGTTTGAAAACTATTGTGCGCGCTCGTGGAGAGCATAAACAAAGAATACAACTGAATTTAACTATGACTGCAATTAAAGTTTTCGATGAAGGCACTAAAGTATTTTCAAGAGTTAGCCTTTTAGTTTCTAAATGACTTTATTATTGATTAGATTGCAATCATTGATCATGAGGTTACACACATATCATTTGTTGTTATGGACCCAAAGGACCCACGTGCGTTCGGCTATATTTACAATACAAATGATGGTCGCCATCAATTTTGGGCTATAAAAACTGAACGACCAGCAGTATTCACTGTCCTTGCATTAAAAGAACTTTTCGAAATAGTTTTTGCACGATTAAAGTACCCGGAAAATGCTTCAGAAGAAACAAATGAAGTAACATCTACGCCTGTTTCACCGGAACTATCAACTGAGCAAATGGAAGTAACTATACAAGCGGCTTATATTACTAATATATATATATATATATTTATTTTTAGCAATCATCAACGTCATCAATTCCTATCTCTACTCCACAGACAACTGTTACATTTGTCAAACCTATTAAACAGCCAATACAAGCACCTAGAGTATGTATGATATATTATTATGTACTATTTTCATAATGATAAGCGATTAGATGCCTTCGTTTAATAATATTTGGGGAGAACGCACTTCACAAATGATCTCTCAAGCAGCATCAGCGCTGGAAGTCAGTATAACATTTTATTGTCAACCTTTGTAATAGAAATTAACTGCTAGACGCCCGTTTTTGATGATCCATGGGGAGAACGTTCTTCAACAACATCAGCATCTAAAGTATGTCCGACATATTATTGTTTATAATTATGGTAATGAAAACTAGCCATTAGAGTCCCTTGTTTGATAACGATTGCGACAAAAGTCCTAAAAAAGTGGTTACACCAACTACATTAGCTTCGACTGTGAGTAAAATATTCATAGTTCATCTTTGTTAATAAAAAATCTATCTATTAGATGCCTGTTTTTGATGACACTTGGGGCAATGCTTCTTTGACAACGTCCACTCCAACAACATCAACATCACAAGTATGTCAATAATGTTTTGGAAAAAACGGTTTGATTAACATTAATTATTAGATACATGCTTTTGATGATCCCTGGGGAGGTAATCCTTCAACAGCAATATCACAAGTATCATTGATTTCAAGCGTAAGTGCAACATTGAACTGGCAATCTTATAACTTAAAAGTAACCTACTAGAAACATGTTCTTGATGATCCATGGGGAGATCGTTCTTCAACAATAACAACAACAACTACGGTTCCTCTAATATTTAAAAAATCTGACATATTATCAACATCTAATATGGATCCTTGGAATACAAAAAATCCCTCGATGTCTAAAAATCAACCAGCTGCAAATACATAATATGTAAGACTCAAAGCATTTTCTCTGATTTACCAAAATAACTCTTGAACAATAATCGTCAACTCTATTTTCAGTCTCTCACTAATCTGCTCGACTCACGAACATCACCATTTACAACAACACATACTTTTAACAACAATGAACCCGTTAGGTCCCCACAGCAACCTTGAGGGCGTTCTTGATTCAGAATTTGTCTTTTCAACTCCTCCACCCAAAATGACCAGTGTGTTTGATGAATTCAATCCTTTTAATAATTCCGCTTAAAATTCAACAACATATCAAATATTCTTCTCTGTTTCACCATCACTATTTATACTATTTTTATTATAAATATTTAAAAAAAATACACGGATATAAATAAGGTGCTCCCAACGCAAAATGCATCTTCAACACATGATGTAATGCTTGAGATATTTCTGATAGTAAAATATTGAAAAAAATCACATTTTTCTTTTCAGTCAATAGATTACACATCTTACTTTAATATAGAATGAATTAATGCATAATTTTTTCACAAATAAAATCTAAGAAAGACTATGTTCGATTTGCGGTAAAAAAATGACAACTATTTTCCTCCGCACTTGCAGTGTCAGTGTGCTGATTGGTTTCAATTAACAAGCTACGGTTCACGTACATAGTCGAAGTAATGCACACTTAGAAATTCTCAAAAGCACGTGTCGAATTATTTTGATCATTAATAGACGATCGTACTTCAACAGCTATAATCGTATTTTGCACAATGTCTTACCAACATCTGATAATAAAGCTGAGATTCGGAAAAGTTAGTCAATGATTGATGAATACATATTGTGGCAAAGTACAAAATGACTTGAAACGATATGTGAAATTATCAATCGTTATGTATAATCTTGAATATTAACTTATTCATTTTATAACGCGAAGTAAACGATTTTTAATCATTATATAGTCTATTTCTATTGTTACAAATATCAATACTTCTTTGATTCTGACCTTCATCCTAAAAAATCCATCAAGTAAATTTGTTATTCGTCGTTATAACTCCATGTTTTATTTGAAAATTTGCCACAAAAAGAAAGTCAATCACTATATTAAATGTAGACAGTTATACAACAGACTAACATATACAAATATGCACCCATGATGATGACGATAAGAAAAATAACAACTAGTCATATATTTCCTATCGCATATTAGTCTTCTATTTGACAGAACTAATACCTGATGATTCACGCGTATATACCGAAAAAAAAAGAAATATTCATACACCACTAGAAAGAGAACCATCAAGAACATATTATGTTTTACTACACCGATCGTATTAGGTCGAAATAAAAACTTGGAACAAACTTTTCGTGACGAACAAAAATAGTTAGCAAACATATCGAAACTCATTCGGTTGTACAAACCATCCATATTCAAATAAGAAAAAATTGAATATTATGCATGATTGCCTTCAAACGAGAGCGATAACGGCCTGCTATTTCCATGAAGGCATACTGTGTTGACATATACATGTTTGCATCGATCTGCTGGTTTTGATTTTGTTTTGCGCTGGAGAAAAACCCGAATCATAACTATTCAGTAACACATTTTAGATAGTAAATTCAATTTTTTTACATTTGAAATAAATGCAGATAAACAATGTTATTTACATTGTTTTACTTATTCATTTATTTCAATATGATACATTAGCTAGAAAATATCTTAAATATGATCTACAAGATTTCGAAAACCAACTTGATAATATTAGAAAGCGATTCGAAACATTTGATCTTGAAAACAATGAAATTGATCGAAATGGTCGTGCTGATACTAATCGTTGGAATCAATTGAACGATAATGAGATTCAAAATATGCCACCGATTGATGATTATTCCAATGAAAAAACTGCAAGACATTGGCTCCAATGGTACTCACGGATATCACAACGATATTATCAAGTATTTGATTTTACAAGAAAAACATTGTCATCGGTTTTAAAATAAGACCTTTTTACTTAATTTTTAGATCGATACTGTTCTTGAATGGAATTATGAAACAAATATAACTGAAGAAAATGAACAAGCAATATCTAAACAAAGTCTTATCTCGTCTCCATTCGATCGTTTATCATTGCCGATTGCAAAACGATTTAATGAACACATGAAATATTCTCGAGATGAAGATTTAAGAGTTAGTTTTGGTCGTTTATCTAAAAATCTAATAAGTCCTAATGATGAAGACGTAAAACAGGCATCGAAATTGAGTTCCGATTTATCAAGGGTTTACTCGACAACGAAAGTATGCGAATTAAATAATGATGAAATATGTTATAATCTTTCGCCTTATTTGGAACGACTCATGCAAGTGGAAAAAGATTATGATCGTTTATTGTGGGGATGGCAAGGTTGGCATGATGGATGTGGAAATAATATTCGTCCTCTTTATTTGCCGTACATTGATATTTTGGATAAAAATACGAAAGAAAATGGTTACAAAGATTTAGCTGTACGTAGGGAATCCTAAAAACAGCTTTATCAATAACATTATTAATTTCATTTGTAGGAATATTGGATTTCAGACTATGAAATGGGTAATGATACAGTATTCGAAAGTATTATTGATCAAATTCTTCAAGATATTATGCCACTATATGAACAAATACACGGTTTTGTTCGAGGACGTTTATGTGAAATTTATCCTAATCGATTCGATTGTAATGGACCTATTCCTGCTCATATTCTCGGTAGGACTTTTGAAACGCCATTTAAAGATTCTCTAAACATTATTGATAGGTAATATGTGGGCTCAACAGTGGCACGAACGTCTAGACGATTTTATGCCGCATCCGGATACACCACTTGCGAATATAACACGTATATTGGAGGAGAAAAAATATACTATTAAGCATATGTATAGAATTTCGGAAAATTTTTTTACGTCAATTAATTTATATTCGATGACATCAAAATTTTGGTCATTGAGCATGTTTACAAAACCACCTGATCGCGATGTTGACTGCCAACCATCAGCATCTGATATGGGCTATCATAATGATTATCGAGTGAAGATTTGTACTATTGTCGATGAAGATTATCTTTATACGATTCATCATGAAATGGGACATGTAGAATATTATATGTCATATGCAAAACAACCGTTTCTTTATCGAGACGGTGCTAATTCTGGTTTTCATGAAGCTATCGGAGACACCATTGGAATGTATGCAAGTGAGTGTTTAATCTATTTATTTTTACTAAATGAATAAATTTCATTTTTCTTTTCTATTAGTTTCACCGGCACATTTAATAAAATTAGATTTTATTGATGAAGAAACAATAACTCGACATTATGAGATGAATTTTTTAATGCGTATGGCTTTACAAAAAGTAGTCTTTCTGCCCTATGCTTATGTGATGGATAAATATCGTTTTGCTCTATTTCGACATCAAATAAATCATGACGAAGAACTCAATGCTAAGTGGTGGGAATTTCGTATCCGATACGGTGGAATTATGCCACCAGTAGAACGAAATAATCGAGTCAATTTCGATCCAGGTGCAAAATATCATATATCAACAAATACACCTTATGCAAGATATTTCATTGCACATATATTACAATTTCAATTTTATCGTGGTATGTGTAGACTGCAGGGGCAAACCAAACGATTGCATATGTGTGATATATATGGAAATAAATATGTTGGAGAACGATTTAAAGAGATGTTAGCAATGGGAAATTCAAAACCATGGTCAAAAGTACTGGAAACATTAACTGCGGATACAAAATTAGAATCCCAAGCGGTGTTAGATTTTTTTCAACCACTGCATCAATGGTTGAAAATGGAAAATTTAGCAAGAGGCTATCCGGTTGGTTGGATGTAAATCAAAAGTGATGCTTTGACTCATCACTAAGTTGTTCTGTGATTATTTATCGAATTGATCTGATGATCTTTAATATAAAGCAAATTTTTTTCAGCTGCATAGAAAAAGTTTCAAGTTGAGCGATGTCGGTGGCGGATCGGCAAGAGTAAAGAAAAATTCTATGCAAGACTTTAAAAAAGGAAGGTGATTCCTGCTGAGTAACATAGGTTTCATAATTGTTTAGAGTCTGTGAGATCCGAAACCTACTTTCGTTTGTAAAAAGGAAAGTAAATTTGTTAACTATGAACGATTTAATTCAGAGACTGATTATAAGAGTTGGAGAGCACAGCATGAAGGCTATGTGGGCAACTTCGTATCAGCCAAGATATTCGAAATTGTGCCATGTCACTTACACAGTTTTTGTTATTCTTCTATGTTAGTCGATTTATTATTCGATTATTCAAAAACAAAAATGGATGGAAAAACGTGAGATTCATTGAAATAAAAATTCAACTATTTGCTTGATCTTTAATTTGTTGTTCAAGATCATTAGCCATGAAACCAACCGGGTCAGCTGGTCGATTCAACACAATTTTTGTTGTCAGCGCCTAGAAAATATAGAACTTGAGCAATAAATCTTCGAAGTCAAACTTAAAAATCTACTTTGAGTGAATCATATAAACCATGTTTCATCATGTATTTATCAGCTAAAACATTTGGATCTTCATTTTGAATTGTTTTCTGTAAGATAGCATCGAGTTGTGCATCGGTCGCTTCTTGTTCTTCTCCATCTGCATTCGTAGTTATCAACCCAAGCATTCGTAAACGTTTACGTTCTTCAGGATGTAAATCATTAATATTCATTTTCTCCTTTTTTGATTCAATAAAATGATCATCATCTAATGATTTTGTACTTGACCGTTCAGCTTTTTTTTCATCTGACATTTTTCAATCTAAAATAGAGCTATGTCTACTCAAATTGATACTAAGAAGAAAAAAAACTTTTTATGCATGTTTATAATTTAAAATAAAAAATGCCAAAGAAGAAGAAGTCTATCTATTAACCAGGTGGCCATTCGAGTTGTCGACCACCGAGAACATGAACATGAAGATGATAAACACTCTGGCACGCATCTCTTCCATTATTAACAACTAAACGATAACCATCGTCAGCCAGGCCCTGTGTTTTAGCTACTTGTGTAGCAACAATTAGTAAATGGCCTAGTAGCTAAACATCGATATATGAGATTATTGTTCAAAAGGAAAATCGAACAATTGCATTTACTTTTTCATGTAACGCTGTACAAGCTGATAGCTGTGGTATAGGTTCTTTTGGGATTACTAAAAAGTGAGTTGGTGCTTGTTTACTTATATCATGAAATGCAACGCACTAAATTATCAAATATTTTCAACTAAATTTTACTTTTTCGAAAGAAGAAAACCTGATCATCTTCATGAAGTAAATCAATTTTAATTTCTTTTCGTGCAATTTTTCCGAAGATTGTATCTTCTATTGGTTTAGCTGTTTGTGCTTTTATTGCTTCATCTGATATGGACTTCTTTGCTGCACAATCTGAAATACTTCATTTTGTTTTTGAATTAATTACATTTAATCAAATAACGAACTCACAAGGAGTCGACAATGAAAAATATGCATACGAACTGTAACGATGTACAGTTGTTAATTTTAATAGACTTCGTACAACGGCTGACATTTAATAAAACTTTTTCTACAACACAAATAAATTAAATAGATTTTATAGTTGAGAATGACGAAAAAAAACTTGATTTATTTGAAATGTCAGAAAAACAAACAGATATTCTTTAAACAGATGATTGACGATAATTTTTTGTTTGTAAAATCTTTATACCACACATTCCGCAGATACCCAGCTTATAGGCACAACCTAAATAAAACAAAATCAGTTGAAAGAATTCAATGAATTTCACAGCTAACCTTGGCAATAAGTACTTCCGGGTTGATGAATTGAACCTTTACAAACTTTACATTTACTGAATTTAGTTGTATATGGACTATATCTAAAAGAACAAAGATATTCTTATTCAGTCAATTCAAAACAAAGCTGCAAACCGAGTCGATTTCCCTGATAGCAATTTGTTTTCATTTAACTTTCTACCGCCACTTTCTAAAAAAAAATAAATATTATAAAGTTCACAAAACTAATTCTAAAATCCATACCAACTGTATTTCGAGACCCATCTAAAATAGAAAAATCTTTTAAAAAAACTACAATTTTAAAAATCTCAAACATACTTTTCCATATTTCTTGCGTGGCAACAGTACCCACTTTTTTCTGACCTAAAAATCAATCAAATTGTTGCTTTTAATCTTCTTTTTCGTTGGAAAACTTCAACACTTACAAGCATCACACACCATGATTTTTCTTAAAATATTATCTAGAAGAAAAATCAGATGTATGTATATATTTATAAATTTTTCTAATCAGCTAAAGGATTTGCATGTATAGTAACACGCTGTATGCGAACATCTGTTTCAGGTCGATAATTTTTTTCATTCACTGGTATTTTTTCTAATTCATCAAGTGTTTCAAACCCGTCAATAACTTTTCCAAATACAGTATATTTTCCGTCGAGATTCGCTTGTTTTCCATATGTTATAAAAAATTGCGAACCATTTGTATCCGCACCTCGACTTGCCATAGAGACAATACCTCGTTGGCTATGCTAAATAAATATTTTTAAATTAAAAATATCAAATAAAAATTACAAAACTCTATACCTTTAAATGTGGATCGATTTCATCCTAAACACAAACAAAAATAGATAAGCAAAATAAAATTTTTCTAAACATTACTGGAAAATATTCTCCCCAAATACTTTGACCACCTTTTCCTGTTCCCGATGGATCACCAGTTTGAATCATATAACCTTTTACATTACGATGAAAAAGACAATTATCATAGTAATTACTTCCACATAATGCTAAAAAGTTCTAAACGAATGAGATTTACATGTAGAATATTGGATTGTTTTTTTGGTCTTAAAAGACTTACTTCACATGCTTTAGGACATTGATCACAACAAAGTTCGATTTTAATATCACCTAAATCTGTATGTAAAGTAACTGACATCTAAAAACCAAGAGCATAAAGAAACTTAAAGTAATCTTATAGATTTTCTGTAAAATCATCAGAAAACATGAATACACACAAAAACAAAAATATTGTACAAAAAATTAGACATGCTGTTCTCTTGTTTATGTCGATTCTGAATCTAGATTAACAGCCAATGGGTCATGTTCCACTTCATCGTTTTTCTGTCGACGATATTCACAATGAAAAAATGAAATAAAACAAACGACTAGAATAACAGCAAATACAGCCAAAATATATACAGGAACTAAAAGAAAAAAAGCACGAATTCAAAAAAGAAGCCTTCGATAGATTGAAAATGCTCAAGTACCTGAATAATCCCGAATATCGTTGGTTTTTACATCTTGAATTTCACACTGTTGAATTTCCATTTGATGAGCCGATGGTGCACTCGTGAAATTCGGTAAAATAATAATCGCAATAATACTCCCCAATTGACTAAATAAAAAGCAAATGTTTTTTTCATACATTTGCCATTCTTGTAACATACCTGGCAATCATAAAAATGCCAGAAACCGTCGCTTCCGGAACAGGATGAGTTCTAAAAGTAAATTATAAATATATCGTACTTAACAAAAGAAAAAGTAGGATCGCAGGTACACTTACGTTTCTATACTCAAATCAAAACTCAATGGAAGTACTGGTGCATTAGTAAAACCAGCTATAGCGAAAACAATGTAGAGCCAATAGGATTTAACTTCATTAATAATGAACTATTCATATAAAAAACAAATCGATAATCATTCTTAGAATTAATTTTGCATTTTCTACTTACTAATCCAATACAAATCAGCGAAATAACTCCAATCGAATATAGAATCTTTGTTATTTCCTCTAATTTTTGCGTTTTATCTGCTACGATTCCCATTGTAATACAACCAATGAGACCAAACATAATAAAACAACCAATACATAAGCCTACAGCAATATCACCATATCCAAACGGACACATTATTTGTTGTAATAATGTCGAAAGTGTATTATTATTTGATAAACCGATACCAACAGTCAAAAATAAAATGACGTAGGATTTGGATTTTAAAAGCTAAAACAAAGTCATATATTTCCAATCGAATAGTATTCAAAAACAACTAAACCTTACTTTTTTAAAAACTAATTTATAGGGAACCTTGACGTCACGTGAAGCTAAAGATGAAGGTGTCGGTGGCTCTGATGATCGAACAGTTAATGATAAAATTGCTGCAAGCACCGCCGGTATCAACGATAGATATAACTAAATAAAAACAAATTTTGACAAATTAGTAACATTGAAAAGAGAATACGAACTAGTAAAGGTATTTTAGTTTCGTGGGGAACTATAATTGGTGGTAGAACAGTTCCAATGAAAACACCGAAAAAATTAGCTAAAAAAAGACAACTTTTAAATCGAACCATCGTATTTGTTTTTCTGCAAAACCTGCAAAACAAAGGCTAGTAGCCAATGTTCGTTGGTTGTGTGGAAACCATATAAAAGAAAATTTAGCTGGAATAAATAATGTGAAGGTTTGTGCAAATGCGCAAATAAATTGTCCTATTATCAACATTAAAATTAAAATCATAAAAGAATATATCATTTTTTTTTACCAATAAAAACAATCGGATATCGACCTTTGACAGATACGAATCCCCATGTACTAATTACACGAAAACATCCGCCAATTAAATTCAACGAAACACCAGTTAAAATCTATATAAAAATTAAAATGAGGATTTTTTTTCTATTATGTTTTGCTTTAAATTTTTACTCCAAATCGAATGCCGAACTTATCAATAGCCCATGTTGATGGTAGTGTAAAAATACTACACACTATCATAAATATAAGTGAAAGCCAATTGATAGATGAATATGAAACATCAAAGTAACTTTTTGCTAAATTAGCGATAGATGCAAAATTAATCCATAGCTAAATAGAACAATTTTATTAAAGAACGAAAATAAATCTTCAAAATAGAACTTACAATAGAATTCGACATATTGGCTAAACATATACATATTAAATAAAGCCATCGTCGTCTGTAAACTTTATATTCAGTCGTTGTCACAACTCCTGTTGGTGATGGCAATACTTCAGTATCGATAGCTCCGTACATCTAGAAATTGCGCAATAACAATGCAATCATATTTTTTTCTTTCATTTATGTCATTTTTCAAAAATATGATCGACACGAGCAAACTACAGTTGCCCTTGTCTGATACGAAAAAGAATGTTGTATTATTACTTAATGGATGTTTTAATCCAATACATAATAATCATATTGGCCTATTAGAACTAACCCGAGAACATTTAAATTCATTGGATATTTATCATGTTACGGGTGGTTATGTTTCACCAACTCATGATGCTGGTATCGAACGAAAATTATCTGTTCTTCCTACAACATGGCAACATCGTCTCGAAATGTGTCGTTTAGCTGTTGAGGATTCATCATGGATTATGGTCGATGGATGGCAAATAGCTCAAGAAAAAAATCAAGGTGCACAACAAGCTAAACAACATTTAAATGATTTCCTAAGGAAATCTTATCCTTCCATTGAAGTTGTATCTATTTGTGGTGGGGATGCTCTACCAAAATTGAAATCATTATTTAAAAAAGAACTTGTGATTTCTATAATTAATCGACCAATAGATGATTTCGATTTTAATCAATGGTTTCAATCATCGTCGATGCAACCTTATCATAATAATATTATTGTTCTTCATGATAATAAATGTATCAAAACGATGAGTAGTACGTATGTTCGTCAACAGATAAGTAAAAATCTTTATGACACTCTGATTGATATTCTTCATCCATCGGTATTTGATTATCATCGTGAACATGGAATAAGTTATCGGCCAGCTAATGAAACAATTCTTTGGTCAGATTTTGATGATCAGCCGCCTATTGAAATTGGTCAAGGTCGATGTGCCACAGTTTATGCTAAGCAATATAAAGATCAACAAGTGGCGGTAAAAGTGATACGTGAACGTAAACAATTTGTACATGAATCAAAAATTTTAACATTATTAACTGAAGATTCATCTCATCATATCAATGTTGTACGAATATTTGGTATTGGTGATGAATTTTGTATGATGGAAAAATGTGATATTGATCTTCTTTCATATATTAAAATAAATCGAACAACAATAAATCAAACATTACGAACTATCTTTCCAAATCAACAATGGTTTCAATTTATTGAACAGATGCTTTCTGGTTTTGTTCATCTTATTTCACTCGGAATTCTTCATCGTGATATAAAAACAGATAATATTCTTTTAGTCAATATGGTTGTTAAAATATCCGATTTCAGTGTATCCATTAATAAAAATTCTATAACAAAAATGCCACTAAGAGGATCAATACGTCATTATGCACCAGAAGCTATTAATGATAAAAATATTTATACGGAACAAGCTGATGTTTATATGTTTGGATGCTTACTCTATGAAATAGTTCATGGTGGAGAACGTATTTGGAGTGAAAACACTACACATCAGGTTGTTGAACGACGCTTAAACGGCGAAAAGCCAATATTCTCCGTACAAGCCGAACCATGGTATATTGATATGGCTGTACATGATTGCTGGATAATTAATCCAAATGAAAGATCAACGTTTGAGCAATTACTACAAAATGTTCGTTTGAATCACAATCACAAGAAAGCATCAGATGAGAGCTATGATGCACCAATGAATTACTCCAACATCGGAATAACAACAGAGTGACATCTATTATATACGCAGTATTCGATGAAAATAAATGAAGAAAAACTGATAAATTGACGACTAAATATGAATATTCTTATCATTGCTCGTGTTTTCTTTTGTTTTTATTAAGTAAACTAAAATTCACATGATAGTAAACTATTTCTGAGGATTTTCGCCTTGAATAATAATGTGAAATATGTGTTTGATTTTTCAAATGAACAAATAATATTGATATACACGATTGTTCTTTCGTTCTTCTGTTTTTTTTCCACGAGAGGTCAGAATGAAATTTAAAAAATATAGCTGCATCACCGTCTTATATGTATTTTTTTCCGTCAACAAGCATGTGAGAAAAGACGATTGCAATTTTTCCATTCTGCCATTTTGTTCGTTAACATCATAATATGCCCAGAAGGCAAGCAGCAAGATTGCCACCGACAACTGATGAGACCGAGTATGTGTAAATTTTATTTTTCGAATATATTTCTATTTATAAATATAATTCAAGAGAGACGATTACTCCTATCGATGAAGTACGACAGCAGATTGTCTCAATTGAAGAAGTAGTCCATCGACGATATGAAGAAATCAACGATGAGTTGAATAGTTTGAAAACGAATTCAGAAAAAACTCGTCAAAATGAATGTCATCATGAGGAAAATTTCTTGAAACTCTGTCACGCTGTCGACTTTCTTCTTGAACATATGGATCATGATTATGATACGATAGCATGTCGTGAAATGGTTTCATCTTTACTCGGTCAACGATCGGCACGACCATTTTCCGGACGTACAATTCGTAATCGAGTACTGTGTAAACGTATAAAAAGATGGTGTTTATTTATTACTTTTGTGCTTTTTATTGTGGCATGTATGACAATTTATGGATTACATCGGGATTGGTGTTATCTACTAGTGATTGTATGTCTATCGGGATCAATAATATCGTCAATAGGCGTTCGTCGAATTTACAAAATTATTGAAGCAGTTTGGTGAAATTCATTCCGCTTTTTTGTTTTCCGTTAAGTTAGTGTTTATATGAAATATAATAAAAATATGTTCTTGCGTCAGCAAAAAAACATTTTCCGTTGAAATCCACAAGATGTTCTACGGCATATTAAGGAGTAGCTATTATCGATAATACAACTATCTATTTTACGAACTCATTGTACTGCGGGTTTGGTGGAAAAGGCAGAAAGGGAAAATATATAAGGGGAAAATGCAGAAATTCTAAACGTCGAAAGAAAAAATTAGAAAAAGGAAAACGTCGAAAGGTAAATGTCGAAAATTGCGTTTTTTGATAATTTTAACGAAAAATAAAAATTTATTCGATCATATGATAAAATACAATAAAAAAAAGAAAACTAAGTTTATCAGTATTATTTTCTTTTTTTGTGTGATCCAAGTAGTAATGCTAATCCCTTCAATAATTGCTTTGCATTGATTACCAAATCAAAAGAAAAAATTTTCGTTATCTATAGACATCTTTGTCATTCTACGTTTTCCTTTTCAAAGTTCTTCTACTTTTTTTCTCTGGCAGTTTTTCTTTGGCACTGTTATTAATTATACTTTTTCCATTCGACGTTATTCCTTTCTGCCTTTTCCGCCAATTCCTGTACTGCAAGTAAAAACATTGTATTCCCGATCATGTTCATTATGGTGCACGAATTAAAGTAGAACACAAGTGATAAAGTTTTCCTCCAAAAAAATATATATAATTAGTTAATTCTTTTAATAGAGAAAAGTAAGTTTTGAAACGTTGAGATATTTTAAATTTAGCAGGAATCGATAGTTAAATTACTTTAGGGTGTGGGTGTGTGTCTTCTATGTTCTCCCACCCTACACCCACAACCTACTGTCTTTGTTATTATTTATCGTGTATAACATCCATACATGTTTTCCTATTGAAATTCTAATTTTCTTGATAATATGTTTTACATGTATACACAAACTGCTCAATATTTATGACTTATTTTTTAATCAAATTTCAACATGACTCATAAAGTGCATTTATCAATGAAAATTTTGGTGTTGGACTATCGTTGATATTGAATTATTAAATTTTTTCTCATTCTTCTTCTGATATCACTAACTGCAAAACATCGAAAAGATTCGTAAATTAAGAAAGTCAATCGATATTTGTTTCCTAAATTTCTGTTTATCTTCAGGTTGTGTCAGTGTATGCAGTACACTTCGTCCATCAACAACATCCACTATCAAATTTACTTTCGTCTATGTTCTTCGTCTTATAACAAAAGCATTATTATCAGCGGCAGCAAAATAATAATAATACTTGAAGCAAAAACCAAACCATTGATATGATATTTAACATATTACAGAATTGCTCGCTTGAAATGAAAGGACGAAGCATTGTGTATTTCAAATATTTGTTGATCATTTAGAACGTGTATCAATCGATTTGATCGACGTTTTCTTGATGTTATTATTAATGTATCATTTTTTTCACTGATGGGCAAACTAATTCACTTAAACGTGCCGATTAAAACGTCTTGTTCAAGCATCCTCAACTGCTACTTTACAACGGCAATTTAAATGAGATCTAATCAAACGTTTTATTTAACTAAATATATTCCAACGATCATGTTACATGTTCTTTCAAAAGCGTCAGATACAACGTCACGTCACGGTAAGCAGATTTCGGCTTGGTCAAAAGTCAAAAGATCTATTTTATTTGTATTTTTAATAGTTTTCAAAATGAAATCTTCTCGCACGAAATTATCGCCCTTTTTTTCTGAAATAATTTTAACAGCAACTAATTACGTAAATCTTTTTTTTATAGTGACAGCTTTACTCGTTACTCTCTCAACTAAATATAAAAGTATAGCTATTTGATTATTTATATTGTCACGATGAGAAATGCTACTCTAAATACTTTTACCTGCTCCAATACTATATACGAAAGGATTGATGAATTTAGAGGTGTCTGAGAAAATAAATAGGAATCAATTATTCAGTCAGTTTCACCGCTGTTCACTTCTGATTATTTAACATAAAATAAATTCCATTTCTCTACTTCTTTTTTATTCGTTTTCAAGAGAATAATAAAATTGATATCATGAAATCCTATATATAGGTCGAAGTTTATATACGGTTAGTTCAAAAAATTGAAACGAATTTAAATAGAAGACACAGGGCATGTTACTAGTTGAATTTCTTAAAAATATCACATTTGAATATTAGATGTTTTTCATCAAAGGATATAAATAAAAGTACAGAATGTCTTAAAAAAACATAGCTATTCGAAAAGTATTTTTTTTAAATAATGCCCGATTGGTGGTTTAAATATGCTTATTATGTTTATGAAATGGTTTATTTAAGGATTACAAGGTACATATGTGAGTTTTGTGGAAAAAGATTGAATTTGCAACGATAATTCTTCATGTGGAAATTAATATCACTTCAAGTAAGCCCTGTTGATGTCTACGCCAAAGAGATTCCTTTCTTATGAGGTTGCCAAAAATGAAAAATATGATTTTTTTAATAAGATGAAATAGTTCTGGGTTAAAATCGAGTAGTTACATTTTGTTCGATTATCTTTTTTTTATTAAATAGCAACAATTACTAAAACAACCTAAATGTGCGATTTGTATAGGTTTATCGAACTCCATTACTAGAACATTACTTGAATGATATATTCATCAACAAACAATAGTTAGGATGATACATCAACTAGAGGCTAAAACACAAATGAACCATACAAATAGACTACTGGCATGGCTGTCTGCCAAGAAGCTTACAGTTCAGTAATTACAACTAAAAATGAAAATATTAATTCACAAGCCGATACTTGTTGGTGAAATTCAAACACTCAATGATGATACACAACGTCTTAGCTACATCTAAATCCTCGACGAGAAGATGAATTAAAGTTTTCAAAACAGTCAACCGAAACTAACTTCGACGAATACTATTTCAATAGCCAGTAAAGGTCCACATAAAATCTTTTTTTCTGATTATCATCATCCATTGTACCCAGGTTATTCAATACATTCGCTCACTGAATTACGATCTGAATATATTTCAACAACAGAGCAGTATATCGGCTGTGTGAACTTACTCCAAAGGTTTCATCTTATATATATTTCGACGATACGATAAAGAGAAAGCTTTAGATGAGTTAATGCTGGGTGTTTTTGGGTCATAGATGTGTAGAAAGCCTATCACCCAGCACACATAATATTAGAAGTTTGTGCTATCGCAGTTTTGTCAGATGAACACGAGGTAAAATAGGTAATAAAACGATCAGAATTCTAGATAAGTGAATGTAAGGTTTTGACAAGAGAAGATAGTGATAATTAAACTTTATTGGATTTGTGAATCTTTTTTTTACATAAAAGCAACACACAGGAAATTTTTTCATCGCTGAAATTATCGATAACGATGAATACAAATTATTCTTACTAGTATATTCTAAATTCAAAATACTTGTTGAAGCAAATATTCAAAAAAGTAGAAAATATGAATACTAATATAACATGTACAGTATATATTTACTTTCTTTTTCCACATCTTTCTATGCGTTTTTTCTTTTTACGTACTTTCTTTATAACTAAAAATATATTGATTAATTTTTGTTATGGTAAAATAGATATAGAGATATAAATTAGCTCAATGATAAAGACTTAGTACAGCATTTATCACCATCACGTTAAAATAATTTTGGGGATCATTTCTAAAGATTACTTTCTCTTAATTTCCAATAAGTGTGCTGTTCGAGAGTTCCTGCATCGACAGAACAAATTTCGCATATGAAAATACCAAAAAAACAGCTATCTTCAAAACTGATGTTCCAAATAGTATGACATGAAACTAAATCTAGTTTTCTTACTTTTAACCATTGAAATATTTTATTTACTTTGTTATTTCTAAACATAACGATCAATAATAATAATAATAATAATAATAATAGTGTTTATAGACACACCTATTTTTTGTCTATTTCTTTAATTTTTATATAAATCGAATTAAAAAGTTCAAAATTGTGAAAAGTTTATTATTGTCTTGAGGGAAAATAGATTGATATTGTAGAGAATAACACTATTAAAATCTATTTTTGTTTTACTTTTCAGATATTGATCATCGTAAAGAGTTTTCTTTCTAATAACCATGGCCACAGCAGGAGGAGGAGAAGAAGCGACAGCGCAACGTATATTACGTATTACTGACATCATCGATGAGCCACTTCAATTTACCGCACCCATTGGTGGCTATGAAGAAATGCCACTAGTTCCACTTGAAAAAGCTGTCGAACCACTTGTTTCTATTCTACAAGCTGTAAAAAGTCATGCATATGTTGCCAAACAAAAATGTGAGAATCCTGCCGATGGATTGACACAAGATGAATCTGCCTCAATCATGTTATACACTATGGGCTGGAAAACACTTGATAAATGTCTGTATGTCGCTTTAAACAATGCATTAAGATCTCCAGATCGTCAGCAAAGTCTTGAACCATGGTACTTATTTCTGAGACTATTTCTTAATGCGCTCTTCCGTCTGCCGTCACTACCAAAAACTGCATATAGGGGCGTCAAATTAGATCTAAGCGAGCGTTATACTGCAGGAAAGACAATTGTTTGGTGGGGATTTTCGTCGTGTACAACAGCTGTCAGTGGTCTCGATCAGGACAATTTTTGGGAATGACAGGGACAAGAACAATCCCAAGTCACTCCATCCTGCCTCCGGATTCAGTCGGAATCCGTCGGAACCAGCACCGGATAACACCAGAAGACGGCATGATTCCCAATCAAATCTGCCAGGATCCGGCGGGGATTTCGCCGGAATCTTTGCTCCCGGAAACCCCGTCGGAATTCAACGGAAAATGATCCGGTCGTTTCCTGCCGGATAATACAACCGAACATTGTCGCAACCGATCCACTCGGACTACCGGATGATGCCGGTTTCATCACATATTTGACCGGATTCCATCCAATTCCGACGACAAGGACCTCATAAAAAATCTCTCATACAAGCGTTCTGGAATCGAAACGTCAATCAACTATAGTCTTCAAACACACGCACACCAACCAAACCATAACGCCTGATCAATAACCACAACATAATCCAAACCCTCACAGCTTAAACNTTATTAGAGTGTAAATAATGCTAGACTTGACTTATATTGAGAAACATACGCACATATTATTAGCAGCGCAATATTGCTATCTTGTTTTATTGTAAACTCATTATTGAATAAATTATTACAAGCTAGTATTGCCCAAACATTCTTGCTTGTTTTTAAATAATAATAAAAATATTTATTTTACATTTCGATGAGTTCGGCAAATTATTTATGCCAATAAATTATAAAAAATCTTTTCAATTTTCTTTAGTATTCTTGGTTGTACTACTTACAGGAGTTTCGATTAATTATCTCGAAACACCTCACCCACACCCTTAATATATGCTCTTTGGATGCCATTTTTTTTTAATTGTTTAATATGTTCTATTTTCATAAACGAAAAAAATAAATAGACTTCATCACTTGAAATTCCGATTGAAAGACTTTTTAATGTCTGCTTGGGTTAACTAGATTTAATTATTTAAGTTTGATTTTCTACAAAATATAGAATTTAAATACGCTGGAGAGAGAGAGAACGATATGCTATATGTGTGATTCATTCTATAGAATAATCTTCTAGTACAGAAAAAAATTATTCTGAGGAATTTCTAAAAAACAGAATGATCAATTCAAAGAATTTTACTCGATACTTTCGAAATTATTTCATATACTAGCTATACTCGAGAAAGAGAAAGAGAGAGATCTCCTTTTATTCTTACGTTTTCTCTTTTAGGTAATATTCCTGCTAATTCTACGTGGGCACAGAACGGAGTGACTATTGCTGGAGGTAACTGGGGTGGGGATGCCACTAATCAACTCTACTCGCCCTATGGTCCCTTTGTTGATGATGACCAGACAGTGGTTATTGCTGACTTCGGGAATAATCTTAATCATCCAATGGAAGAACGGGGATACAATGAATGGACAAGTTGTTGCTGGTGGCAACGGCGAAGGAAATGGATTACATCAATTGAATATTCCAACTGACGTATTAATCGACAAAGAGACGGATAGTCTCATTATTTGTGATCAAGGGAATCAACGAGTAGTACGATGGTCTCGTCGTAGTGGTACAACACAAGATGAAATACTCATCGACAACATCTGGTGTTGGGGATTAGCAATGGATGAACAGAGATATCTCTACGTTTCTGACTACGGAAAACATGCAGTAAGACGATATCAATTGGATGAGAAGAAGGGCACTCTCGTAGCTGGTGGTAATGACAAAGGTTCGGGACTCAGTCAACTCAACGTGCCGACATATCTCTTTGTCGATCGAGATCATTCAGTGTACGTATCAGACAACTGGAATGATCGTGTGATGAAATGGGTGGAAGGTGCAAAAGAAAGTATTGTGGTCGCTTGAGGACAAGGTAAAGGGAGTGCTCTGACACAGTTGTATTGGCCTCAAGGAATCTTCGTTGATACGTTGGGTACACTCTATGTAGCAGACACGCAGAATGATCGTGTAATGCGTTGGGCTCAAGGAGACAAGAAACAAGACACTAGAATTGTGGGTGGAAATGGTCGAGGAGAAGGAGCAAATCAGTTCAACGATCCCATTGGCTTGTCTTTCGATCGACAAGGTAATCTCTATGTCGCCGATACGAATAATCATCGTGTTCAACAATTTTCTATTGAATAAGACTTATGAACGGTTTTTTCTTTGATCGTTTCTTTTTTCATACTTTGAAATAAATGAAGAAGTAAAGGAAATTTTCTTTTACTCTTTCGCTTCAAAGAAAAGATAAAAGCTAAAATATAAAATTACGTCGTATGTTTCTTTTCTTCTTCTTCTTTTATTTATTTGTTAAATGAAAAGAAATGAATTAAATAAAAGAATTTGCTATTTTTTCGAGGAAATAGTTTTCCTTGTAAAGTTTGATGAGATGCTGTCGGGTTCGAGGCAGTCGAATCGGGAGTCACATTTTTTAAGTTTCGCTTTCTACCTTTTTTAGGGAGAGAAAGAGCTTTTTAGGAAAAAAATGACTTCGTTTAAAGTTTGACCGAAAGTTTTTGAGACGGCGTCATTCAATTGTAAGTGTAGTTTTTCAAAAACATTTTTGTCATCGTTTTGATAAACAAAGAGGGTTGCACAGAATGAACACATGAGCTTTTTGAAAAAGTAAAACTAAGTGACTAGCAACTGGCGAGTGACTGGTATTTCGAAAGCGTTTAGAAGTACCGCAACGACGTTATTAGAGGTTATGATCCTAAACAAATAAATAAAGTTAATTCAAATAAGGTAGCGACTGTCGCTGGATCGAATATTAAATGCTTAATAATCTTTCATAGTTCAAGCAAGTTTATAATTCATTAGGAGCTGTTTAGATTATCGTATTTTCGTGATAGGAATTTTTTGTCGGCAAAACTTTTAAGGGTATCATTCGATGATATTGATAGTGGTATATATATATCGTGTGCTTATACTGGATTTTATTACGAATCGGCTATAGGCATCTTGCGATGGAATTCATTCTTAATTTGGTAACGACTATCATTTTACACAGTACAGCAATTTTTATTGAATTTTAAGGCTTCTGAAAATCCCTTGTGAACCTGTCCTCATCTTCGAAAGAGCATATTTTATATCAATTTTCAATGCTGATATAGGATCTGTTGAGATCCTTCCGATATATAATACCGTTTTCATTTGAGTCCAACAATTTGAAAATTATATTTTATCCTATGAAGTCATTTTCAGCGTTTTTTTTTATCTCAAAAAATTGTTGGTAAACCTTTTCAGATGATCGAAACAATATATCCTATATCAGTTTTTGATACTGAATTAGAATCCGTTGAGATCATTTTGATGTATATTGAGCTATTTTTATTCAGTACGAAAATTTAATAGATGAATTTTTTCACTGTAGAGAATGCATTAGTCTTGTTTTTCTCTTCTTCTTTAAAACAACCCTATAAAGAGCTTGTAATTTCTTTGAATATTTGTAATCATATATTACTTTTTAGTAAAGATGATGAGTATGTTTAGATGATTGATATTATTCATGGTCAGGTAGTGTGTTGCGATCAGTTTTATTAAGTGGAAAACTGTAATTTTTTCAAGTTTTTATTGATAAAATATATCATCTAATATCAAGATATGAGACTGAATGAATTATTACCTTCAAATGATTTTGGTTTGATTGAAATAGAGGATCGCCGGTTTAATCTTTCTTTCTAGAAACAAAAGAAAGATGGGTAATAGTAGTTACTGGATCGATCCATAGGAAATATGTCGAAATATGATTCGTGTTCGCATATAGACGGCACTCATTTCCATATTGTGTTTTGTCAAATGAGTTCCATTTTCGTTTCTCTTTTCGTTGGTTGAATGTTTTCCTTTTCCTTTTCCTTCTTTGTCTTTCACATGTTAAAAAAAAAATTAATTTTTGTATATCAATTCATTTATTATTTATGGAACATATAACAAAAAGAAATAAAGAAAACAATTTACCATTTTCTTATGATAAATATATTTTCGTACATGCATAAAAGACACATGAAGTTCTTGGCCATTTCGTTTCTCCAATCTATAAATATACAAAGAATAAATGAATTTCAATAATTCAAAAATAATTTACTCTATAATAATCAAAGAAAATTATTCTTCTTCAGAAAATTCTTAAGATAAAAGAATAGGCTTTTTTTTGAAAAAATAGTATCCCTATTTCTCTCTCTCTCACCGTCATGCTTTGGAATAAAAAAATAAGAATTCATTTTATAATCAGAGATATTTTTTAAATTTCACTTGTGTTACGGGCCTGCCCTCACACTAGTCACTGCTCTTCTTGCATCTCTAGTCATCCGCCACATCTATCGTCTATATATCTATACATATATATTCTTGTTGTCCTCTCGGGGGAGGAGAGAGAGAGATGTGTGCTTGTTTTTCTCGTTTCGTTTCGTTTCGTTTGTTGTTTATTGTTCAGTCTTCGATTTCACAATAAAGAGAAGGGCGAAGACCCCACCCCTCATATTTGGTGCCGTGACCGATTATTTTTATTATTGATTGTAATAAAAATCTTACCAGAGGACACTCCTAATTAGCAGGGACCTGAAGAAATAAAAATTTGGAAATTAATTAAAGGAAATTCATTTTGAATTACCTGCTACACAAAAAAGAAGATAAATTTTCAAAGTATCAACAACGGCTTACAATTTACGGAATTTTGATGCTGGTCCTGAATTAACCGGTGACTTACTAACAGAAACATCAGAACGAATTGTTAAGAAGCTAACTCTGGAAGCATCAAGTAATCCTACCGAAGATACAGTTCAACAAATTGAAACAATGCCCAACAACGTACAAGATTCAGCGATGATGATATGTTACCGAGAATGTTTATCGAATTTAGGAAAGTTCAATGGCGGTGTAGAACAGAAAGTTTTACAATTTATCAATAATATTGAACGTATCAGGAAAATGATTACTGCAAACGATGATGTTTTACATTGTATGTGCACCGCAAAACTAGATGGTGAAGCAAAACGCTGGTATGAAGACAACATGTCATTAGCTCAATGGGAAAATTTAAAACCAGCATTGTTAGAAAGATTTACAACATCGGATTCATCATTGAAAATTTTTGAACAATTAAAGGAACGAAAACAAAAATTAGATGAAACGATTTCATCGTATCATGACGCTGTTATTAAATTATGTCGTGAATATGATTCATCAATGTCACAGAAAATGATGATATCATGGTTACAAAACGGAATTAAAGATTCATTAAAAACTCAAATTAAACGACAAATGAAGTTATTACCTGAATCAGCACGAACAACTCAGGCATTTTTGAAAATTGCAAAAGATGAACAGGAATTACAAGACGATTCACCCGAACAAGAAACCACACAACCGTACATGTCATACATTACGAATACGGTATCAACAACATTACAGGACAAACGAAACACGTCCGAAAAGGTATCAACATCTACATATTCGCCACCGCGACACACAACATATGAATACAAGAAACAATATACATCATCACCAAGAATTTCAACTCCATTAACATCGATTTCATATGACCGCAATTTAACTTCGCGACCGCGACCAATTTTACGTCGTCAAGAACCACATAATTTACCAACTAATTATTCACAACGAAATCAAGAATCTAATGTGAAATCTTATTCATCGACACAACATGATTCGCAACGTCGTCCATGTTCGATATGTCAACGTATTAGTCACCGGACAATGGATTGCTATTATAAAAAACCATATGGATGTTATAAATGTGGACAGTCAGATCACAATATACGTGATTGTCCACAGGTTTTCGATTAGCTGGAATCCGCGATGGTAGTCATTCCAGTAACAATTAATATCCATCAACAATAAATTATACATCGTCAACATTATTAACTCCTATTTATATCAATGTTCAAGTCAACAATAAACACCATCAAGCTATTGTCGATACTGGATCTGCAGTTACCATCATTAACCAACAACTATTAAAAAATATTTACCACAAGGACTTTATTTACAAAGCAAAATCACACAAATCAGCTAATTGTTCATCTATTAATATTATTGGTGAAATTCAACTTGAAATTAAAGTACATGGATTTAAAACGTTAATTGTAGCCGATGTCTCAACGAATCTCATTACTGACCTATTACTTGGAAACGACTGGATTACTCAAAATAATGTTATTATTGATTCACCACAACAGCATATTTTTCTAATTGACAAGAATCGTCGTATTCTAACAACAACACCATTCATCAAACCTTCACATCTTCAATTACCTGTACTATTAACAGATGAGATTACTATACCGCCATATTCCGAAAAATGTATTAATATCAACATATTATCACCAATGATTAACATACCCGAAGCTTTATTTGAACCAGCAACATATTTATATCCAAAACAAATATTACTCACGAATGCATTAATTAAATTAGAAGACAATAGAAGTTACGTTATGATTATCAATGCAAATGATCGTCAAAAGACATTATCGAAGAATACTCACTTGGGATATATTTCATATCAATCTGAACAAAATAATTATCCTATTTTACCGGTGATATCACAAAAACGAAAAGGTCCACCATTGCATTCAAAATCAACCATTTATAAGAGGAGCAAAACCGTCGGGAGACGTTCCTGGACTCCATCAACATATGAAAAAAGGAAGGTCCTATCTACGGACTTAACCTGTCGAATGATCAACAACAGCAATGAACAACAACATCAATGTTATGTCTGTCAAGAACGATTTTTATCACGAAATGACTTACAACATCACTTACGTCAGAAATTTTATCCATCAGACATGCGGGAACAGGTTGAACAGTTAACTCAACATATCAGAGATGACAAGCGACGACAAAAACTAAAACAAATTCTATGGAAACACGGAAAATTATTTGATGTCCGCCGACCGTCCATCATCAAAGCAACAGTTCATCATGCTATCGAAACTGGCACTCATCCACCAACTTATACTTCGCCATATCGTGTTTCATACAAGGACGAACAAATACAAAGAGACGAAATTGATAAATTACTCAAACAAGGAATAATCGAAGAATCTATCTCGCCATGTTCATCTCCAATAGTATTGGTAAGAAAAAAAGATGGTTCTGTTCGATTCTGTATTGATTTTAGGAAATTGAATAATGTTACTACAAGGGATGCATTCCCTATGCCTCGAATTGATGATATTTTTGATCATTTATCACAAGCGGAATATTATACCACCATCGATTTTAAATCCGGATATTTCCAAGTTGGACTTGACCCGAAGGATCGTTCAAAGACAGCATTCTCCACCAGAGATCAACATTATCAATTTACAGTGTTACCTCAAGGTGTTACAAATAGTCCGCCAGCATTTCAACGCATTGTTAGTCAAATACTTGGACCTACAAGATGGCAATATTCATTAGCTTATCTCGATGATATTATAATATATTCGCCAACATTTGATCAACACTTACAACGCCTTGATGATATTCTCAATCGATTAAATGATGCAAACTTTCGTCTCAATATTAATAAATGTCAAATAGCACAGACGGCGATTGATTACCTTGGTCATCATATTGAACACAGCAATATAAGACCGAGTGCAGACAACATCCGTGCATTAGTAGAAACTCAACAGCCAACAACAGCAAAAGAAGCTTTTCGATTCGTCAAAGCTGCTGAATATTATCGCAAATTTATACCGGGATTTTCTACAATTGCACAACCTTTACATCAATATGCACCGACAACTAAAGAACAACGATCAAAAAAATCACAAGCTACACCTATTACTTTATCCAATGATGCACTTGATGCATTTAATAAATTAAAGAAAATATTAACCAATGATTTAATATTACGTATTCCAGATCAAAATTTATCATTCAAGATACAAACCGATGCGCCAAAAATTGGAATTGGCGCTATACTGATGCAAACTCATCCGCATGGTGATCTACCAGTCGCTTACTTATCAAAGAAATTTACACAAACGCAAATGAATTGGCCTGCAACAGAACAAGAATGTTATGCTATTATATATGCAATTGAAAAGTGGCACAAGTACTTAGATGGACGTTCATTCATCATTGAAACAGATCATAAACCATTATTACCATTCAACTTAAAACAACAATTAAATTCGAAATGTGAACGATGGCGGTTGAAATTACAACAATATCAATTTACAGTTCGGTATATTAAAGGAAAACATAATACAGTAGCTGATTATTTATCCCGATCACCAGTCGACAGTGGAATGAATGATGAAGATGATTATACACCAACAAAATCCATAGCAACACAAACTGATAATTATATGAGGACCCAAATTATTGCACCTGTTATAACTCGTAAACAAGCAAAACAACAACTCAATGAAAGGACTGATTGTCGTTTGACAGATCAGGCCTGTGATAAACAAGAACAGAAAAGGAATGTCGACATACCAGTCGATAAGTCCTGCGTTATACAACCCAATGAATTACATACACCAGCTATCTCCAATGACTCAAATAAAATGTTTCCATTTACAATAGAACAATTAAAAGAATTACAACATCAAGATGAAGAAATTAAGAACATAATTGACAACATACAAAATTATACAGAATATTTTATTGAAGATAATATGTTAATGAAGAAATCATTTCCACCAGTTCCAGTTATACCTAAAGGACGAATACGTTCCGATATAATCAAAATTTATCATGATACACCTGCAAATGGTGCGCATTTCGGTCGAAATAAAACCATTCAAAAAATTCAACAACGATATTTTTGGCCAAACATGATTTCGGATATTCGCCATTATGTGAAATCATGTCTACCATGTTTACAAAATAATCCTATACGACAAAAACCACCAGGTGCTCTCAAACCAATAAAACCACCTGAAGGTATATGGCAATTACTTACAATGGATTTTCATGGACCAATCACACCAACAACAAAACATGGAAATAAATACATTATCTCATTAACGGATGTATTATCCAAATTCGTAATTGCAAAGGCAGTACGTGATTGCACTGCATCGACTGCAGCACGATTTCTCACTGAAGAGGTGATCCTTAAATATGGTACTCCAAAATGCATACTCACAGACAATGGTACACATTTTACGGCTGCAATGATGACTGAATTATTCAAGAAAATAGGAATTACACATTTATATTCAACACCTTACCATCCGATGACTAATGGACAAATTGAAAGATTTAATGCAACAATGGATGCAAAAATAGCAACATTATCAAATGACAAACGTACAGATTGGGATGAACAATTACCATTCGTTACGTTCAATTACAACACCAGTATACATACAACAACCGGACAAATTCCATTTGAATTAATATATGGCCGTTCGCCAATTCTCCCTTTTGATCAACAACAACCATTAGTCACACTTTCACACGATTCTGAACATAAGTCAAAATTAAATCAATATCTCTCGACATTAACCGAGCAAGCAAAAATCAAAATATTGAAGCAGCAACGACAATATAAAGAACGTTATGATCAACATCGTACAAATCCAAATCACAAGGTTGGTGACCTTGTTCTAATTAAAATATTAACAATGCGCAACAAGTTCGATGCACGATTCGAGGGTCCATTCCGTATAATTAAAAAAATTAGCACAAAAACATTTATCGTACAACACGTGAAGATACCGACACTGATAAAACAAGTAACTAGCGACGTCATGTTATCGATAACACAGCGCCGATGTATTTAAATAAAATAAAATAAATCAGAAGAACGGAAAGTGGAAATGGAAAATCCATATATTACTAATACATATATATACTTGTTTACATATCGTATAGAAAGAAAACAACAATTTAACTATTACATAACGCTGCAGATATAACCCGAATTCAACAAGAACTTTACTTAATTAATGGATTATTTCATCAACAACTACATGGAATCTTATGACGACTATGATCTCACGATTACGATATACAAATTCATTTGATTTAATAATTACATATTTTTCATTGTAATACAATCGCTTAACATGAACACTTGGTAGAATGTTTTGTTCTCTTCGTGTACAATAAGACATTATATACGAGTCAATGGAACAGGAAAACACAGTGTGTTTTACCTGGTTATTTACAATGTTAGATAATGAATTGGAAAAGAATTTCGGAAACGGAATTCTGGACATATGTACCTTATTTGTTTATTATTTTCTAGATGTCTCAATTTCATCGACAAAAAAATTATTCATCAACATCAAATCGTCAACAAACATCCTCGTCAAATAATAAATCACAATCGAATGCACCACATAATCATCAACATCATCATCGTTATATATCACCACTTGAAAAACTCGACAAATTGAATAACAAATATATTAGAAAAAAGGTCGACCAAAATAACAAATATAAAACATTATATGAAAATGGTGAATGTAGTAAATTCGAACCATCATCATCGACATTTACGCAATTTTATATAAATCGTGAAACTTCAATCGACGTCCTTAATGATCTAATCGATTACGCTTATTGCATTCAAAATTATTCTATCGATACAGAAGGTCAATTACAACCACCACCTGCACCATCTGAACCTGCTCTACTACAAATACAATTTATGCATGAAAAAGATCCATCAATCATCATCTTAATCGAATTATTTCATTTGCCGCCTACATATTCTTCAAAATTCAATAAAATCAAGCAATTATGTGAAATAATCTTATCATCAAATAATATAATTACTTGTTGGGGTCATCCAAAAGTCGAATTAAAACAACTTACTCGATTTCACCTATTTACCGATGACGATATTAATCGTATAACACCGAAAAACACACAAGATGATTTTAAAAAATGGTTCAATCAGACGCACACAAAATCAATTCATCGTAAAGACGCACTCAACGACAAATACTCGTTGCAATCCGCCATATTTTTGACGTTTAATGAATGGATCGATAAACACATGACGCTTGGTGACTGGGGATGCGGTCTTGACTTATCGCTGAACACGTACTTATCATCAGATAATATGCAAAACGAAAAAGAAATACGTGCATTGATGACCACTTACGCCTGTAATGATTGTTTGGCCGTTGCAAAGCTGTACCAAATGATGGAATCATTTAAATCATCCAAAGTAAAATTAGAAAATCATACTTTGACTGCTTTAGATCATGAACAAATGGAAACATCATTACGGCTCGAACCATTATCAAGTAATCATAATGATACAGTTGCAGTTCATGTATTACATGAACGGTATACTGTCGAAAACATCATGGAAGTAGATGAACCGAAGGTCGATATAGTATCTCCGGTTCATGAACAACGAAATAACATTCTAGATGAACTAGAAGACATTTCCGACCATGAACTACCACGTTTACTCGAACATCCAGTATTACCACGTGAAGAAATTGAACCAACAACATCGACAAATGAGTTACAATTAAGTTCAACAACTCATGGTATAGCATCTCGTTCAAAATTAACTAAAACCCAACGTAACAATTTAAAGAAAAGAGCAAATCGATACAAATTCGAAATTATCCGCCAAATATATACACAATTTACAATAACGAATGTTAAGCAAATACTGACTGACATGAACATCTATTGGGTGAATGTTAATATTGTTGGCAGTACATTATTTTTGGGCTTAAAAAACGACACCATTCGTCAACGTGTCGATCAACAACTACAGCAGGACATGTTCACTAAAGAACACTATGAACGTCTCGAAAAGAAACGTCAACGTCGTCGTCAACATCATAATCATCATCATTAGTCGATTTAGTACGTATACAAACAAATATTTGTTTGTTTTCTTTTGTTTTTCTTTTGTTTCTTTTTTTTTTTGTTTCTTTTCTTTTCTCGTTTATTTTAATATCATACTGGTGATACTATTGATATTATCGTTATAACTTGTTGTTATTTTTTTGTTCCTTTCTCGTGTCTTTTCTCGTTTTCTTCTTCGTTTTTTTTTTTCGTGATTTGTTACAGTGGTCGTGTGCGGACACACATTTCAAGTCAGGGGGGTCGACTGTTACGGGCCTGCCCTCACACTAGTCATTTCTCTTCTTTCATCTCTAGTCATCCACCACATCTATCGTCATATACATATATATATATATATACATATATATTCTTGTTG